TATGGTGGGTGACAATAATCGTGGTGGCGGCAGCGATGGTGGGGGTGATGGCGGTGGCGACAGCGACGGTGGCAGTGGTGACAGTGACGGTGACGACGGCAGCGATGGTGGTGGTGGCGGTGGCGAGGAGGACGACGGTGGTGGTGGTGGCGACGACGGAGACAGTAGGGGTGGTGGTGGTGACGGCAGCGGTGGTAGTGATGGTAGGCGTAGCGATGGTGGTGGCGGTGGCGGTGATGATGGTGACGACAGCGATGTTGGTGGTGGTAGCGGCGACGGTGGTGGCGACAGTGGTGGTGGGGGTGGCAGTGTGCGACAACGGCGACGACAACATCGATGGTGATGGGGCTGGTGGTGGCGATGGCGGTGGCAGTGGTGGTGGTAACAGTGGTGATGGTGGTGATGACGCCGCTGTGTGGCGACAATGGTGGTGGTGGTGGTTGTAGTGGTGGTGGTGACAATGGTGGTGTTGGCGGCGACAACGGCGGCGACGATGGTGGTGGTGGCGACGGCGGTGGTTGTGGGCGGCGGGGACGGTGGTGGCGGTGGCGGTGGCAGTGGCAGGGCAGTTTTCAAATACTATTTTTTTTTTTAAATATTTACGAAAAATAATTTTTAAAAGTATTTTTAAAAAGTCACTTCAAACACACTCTTAGGAGCATATTTTTTTTATTAAATTTAAGGTGTTAATATTAGTCATTAGATTAATTTTAAAGTAAAATTTAAAGTGATATTCACAGTGAATAACAAAACTCATTTTGTTTATCTTTCGACATTTGAATTATAAGATATTTTATGATATAAATTATTAATGTGCAAAAGTTATCGACATTTCGATACATAAATATATTGAAATATAAATACTTAATTAAATTACACTATGTCCAACAACTTAAGTTTTTTGAGTAGATATTTATTTAATATGGTATCAGAGCAAGATGTCATGTATTCGAATCTTGCCACCCCCTAATTATTTAAAAGATTTTCAAATGTTAAATCTAAAATTTAATTTGCACGTGTAGGGTGCGCGTTGAAGTATAAATACTTAAGTTGCATTTACTCCAACGACTTAAACTTTTAAAATAGGTGATTATTTAACAAAATAAAGCATTCATTTGTGTGTACTAAATCGTGCACGCGTGTCTTGTACGTGGACTTTTTTAATTATAATTTTGTTTTTGAAATAATTAAATAAATATAATAGCAAATACCTAATTATAAATATAACCTTTTGAATATTCCTATGATATCATTTGTGTAATTTGTAATAGACATAACAATACATATTTGTAAAACGAATATTATTGTTTTTTTGTTTTTTCTCTTAAGTTTTAATGAATTACCTTCTTGTAAACTTGTACCCTTAAAGTTTAGAACTTTTCACATGAAATTAATTATTTAGATTAATTTTGTTTGCAACATCATACTAATGTTACAAATATATTTTATAGTACATGAGTATATATAACTAAAAAGTATCGTAAACACTTATTAAATTATGAAAAATATGAAAGCGAACTATTTTAAGTTATGGCGGTCATTTAATTATAAGCAATTGATTAAACAAATTTAAAAAGCTAAATTGTGATAAGTAATTTAATGTGAGACTAAACATAATTGCAGCATTGTTAATCGATACAAATAAAATGGTTTCTAGTATTGCCAATAAACATAACTAAAGAACATTTATTAAAACTAAAACATAAAAGAGAAAAAAATGAAAAGTTAGGGTTTAATAATATTATCTAAATTATATTAAAATAGATATTATATTATATTAAATAAGACTCTAGTGCATTTATGCAATTTTATTTGAAAATTCAAGAACTTGTCATCAACTAATGAAAATAGATAGACATAAATAAAATTTAATTTAATTATTTCAATAATTAAGTTTTGTCTTTTAAAAGAATATGAAAGACTTGGTTATGTGTAACATTAATGAAGTTTATTGATATGAGTTCCATATAAATAATGCTAGTATTCTGAGAGTAAAGTTGTCCAATTAAAAGTTTAGCATCAATCAAGTTTTATTAATATGAGTTCTAAATTAAATAAAGTTAATATTGTCTTTATATATTATTTTATGGTTAAATTAGTCAATCAAAATTTTTATTAATGGTGTATTTTTATTAGTAATATAGATACTTATATTATTACAACAGGCAGTAGTATCGACGGAGGTATCATACTAAAAATTATAATTTTTGTGGTTTAAGTTAGGTTTTTTGGATCAAATTATAACAAAAAATTTGGATGAACACTATGTTTTAGTATAGATCCCAAATTTAGGATCAATATGAAATACCTAGACTGACCCCCACAAAATTATAATTTGTTGTACGGAACCCTACAAAAAAAAAACTTTTGGTACCATATATTTATCCTATTACTACATACTATATGTGATGAAGATTAGAGGAAGTACAAACGGTATTTCAAAAAAAAACAAAACAGTTAAAAAAAGATCTTGGGTTACCTGTAAGCGGGTAAGGTCTGTCAGCAAGACTGATCTGCATTTTGTTAGCAGTAGTATGAAGTCCATTTAGCTAAAAAATTTACAAACACAAACACAACTAATTAGCAAACTGCTGACCAAATGAAAAATACTCATCTAACTTACCATGTCATACAAAGATACAACTCTCCTATGAGACGGGCCACCACACTAAAGGCTATTTTGCTAACCGATTGTAGTCATACTACATTCTAGTCTATGTATGTAATTTTCCCAGTTCGAGGGAATAAAAAAAAAAAAAGAGGAACCATAAGGCATGCCTGTGGATATAATCATCTTTAATTACTGTTGTTTTCAATATCAGACCGTTTTTCTCCTATTTTCTTCTCCTTCCTTTAAAAATAATGGATAAAAAGAATCCAGTTAGAGACCAAAGTCGAACAGGAGACCCTAAGAACAAGGAGTAAAAAAGGATAAAAATAAAGCAGAGAATCACATATAACAGAAGGACAAATAGCATAACAAGGAAAAGAGAGAAGTAAGAGCAGAGGTATATATGTCCCAATATGACCTCCACGGGTATACTTCTCGAATTTACATATCTCGTTGCACCCTAGCTCTAAGGTGAATGTCTTTGATCAAATGCAGTTCAGTAGTTGCAGCAACAATGTCTAGGAACTTTCATGGAACAAGCAATTCCAATCCTAAAAATCGAAATGAGGCACTCCTCAATATAGTCATGTTTTTGCCTGACGACTAGTTTGAAAGCTCATTCTTGTCTTTTCTTCTTCAGTTTGGAAAAGAGCATGATGAGAGATTTCTAAAACTTGGTTAGGTATAGACCATTGGTAAACATGTCATCAGACGTAGAAAATTTCTATTTGTATTTATACTAGGCTAGTTTCATTCTTGTTTTTAAGAATTCTGTATTGTTACATACATTTTTTTTTCTCATTTTTTGAGTTCTTACGATCTTGGAATTCTCGGTTCAATCCTACAATTCCGATCCTTTAACCTCCCCCATCGATCCAAAGTAGGATTCTAATTTGTAAAACCTTGAAACTTAAAGAATGATTCAAAATAAAATACCCCAGAAAAACAGAAAGTTCAATATCTCTTATTAGAAGATGACACATCCAAAAAAACCAACTCACTACAACACTCTTAGACACATTAACCTTTAACCCCAGAACATTAGGAAAAACCTCAATAAGAGTAACAAGATTCGACGTCATATAATTAACGACATGCAAATGTGACATCCACTTCATCTTTCCGATTTGAAAACCCCTCAATCAAATTAAAATTCCTCGGCCGAATCATTAATCTACTTAAAGAACCCACGACCAACGAAAAGGTGACAAAGACTGATCCTGTCTAAGAATCCTAGGTGCCTTAAATCTCTCTCCCCTTACATTGCTAAAAATTCATGTTGCAGTATCTAAAAAAAAGTATGCAATGGAACTTGGCAACTAAAAAGGCAAGAAAGAAAACTATGGCAAAGGCCATAGCAGCTCAAGGATATGTAAACAATCAAACACAGATTGCTGGTTACCTGTAAGTCAACGTTTTGTCAACAAGAGGCATCTGTATATTTTGAGCAGTTGTGTTATAGTGGCAAATCAATCTAACTCAGAAATTTGTGGACACAAATACAACTATATTCGCAAATTGTGACATTGCAGTCTTCCTTTTCTTAGTGCAGAAAGGAAAATATTCATGTAACTCACTGCCTTACAAGAATAGAACTCTTGTATACTTGTGATCTAGTAGAATTTCAACATGGGAACAAGTCACTAAATAACCTCAGTAAAAAATTCTAGAGAATTACAAGACGCATGCCACCAGATGCACTAAAGGCTATTTTTCTCACTGATTGTAATCATATTACATTCCTGTGAATATAAGGTTGGCAGTTCAGATAGGGAAAAAAAAAACTATAAAGCATGCCTGTGGATATATGTCCTGCATACATACCATGCCATATTCATACTCGGGCTCATTATGGTATGTGTGCTTTGACTTACTATGAATTATCCCAAAAAATTCAGTATTACAAGAGTGACTTTGATTACCATTGTTTTTAACCAGAAAACTCTTTTTTCCTATTTTCTTTTCGTTCCTTCAAAAGAGCTAATGCAAGAGACCAAAGAGCAAAGAGTAAGAAACGATAAAAGTACAGCGCAAAGTGAAGTATAGAAGAGACAAGTAGCATAATAGGACAGATACAGGAATAACAGTCGAGGTATAAATGGCCCAATTATGAACTACAAAGTCATACCCCTTGGATTTTCTTTCCACCCTCTTCTTCTCGTATCCTAATTCCAATGAGAACGTCTTTGACTAATTGGAGTTGAGCAGTCGCAGAACCAATGTCCATTCTTTTACTATGCAATTCCATGGAACAATCAATTCCAATCATAAAAATTGAAATGAGGCACTCCTCAATAATGTCATATTTTGACCGAGTACAAGTTTGAAAACTTTTAGCTGTCTCCTTGTCTTCAGTGTGAAAGAGTGCTGGATCAGAAATTTCCGTAACTCATTCAGGTATAGCCATCTTAACAAAGTTATGAAGGTTTAGACCATTGTTAAACATGTCATCGGTGGGCCTCTTTCCAGTAAATATCTCCAACAAGAGGATTCCATAGTTATACACATCACCACATGTTGAAACCTCCACGCCCATGCCATACTCTGCATATTATTAACAAAAGTATTATTTTATTCTTTTTATTTTACTTCAACAATTGTACGTGTTTGGCCAAAAACCACTACTTGAATCATGACAAAATGCTCTGGTAAGTGATAGAAGATGAGCTAAACAACCTTTTTTTGTGAAAATAACCCTAAATATTAGGTCTCTATGCATTTAAATCAGCTGTGGGTAAGCATGCACTCACTTTGATGTGAAGGTGTGAATATTGCAAAGCATTGTACAATAGACTGTTGAAACAATGATTTCACTGAATCTCAAGCAGCGGGAAAGCCCCCTCAGGATTAGGGAGACCATGTCCCCACAACACCCCCCCCCCCCCCCCCCCTCTTCCCTTCTTCTAAGTTTGGAAAATTGGCTTTTCACACTTCAAACTTAAAGGTAATTTTTTGGTAGATGTTGAAATTTGACCATCTTTAATTTTTAGATTATTTCAATGTGATCTTTAAAGCTTGTACACTATTTTTTGGCCCATAATCAACACTGCGTCCTATTTTTTTTCTTATAAAAGCAGAAAAAAGAAGTCCCTAAAAAAGTTCTCATGCATGCTTACCACACCACAAAAAGCTAAGATTTCGTCAGCTTCACAAGATTTTCAAAAGTGACCAAAAAAAAAGCCTATCTACGGCACAAAGTAAAAAATTAAAGCTTAAGTTTGGCATGCAAATATAGAATTAACGCATTGACTAGAGTTGCTCTCAATTGAGAAGTAATAATGACAGTTGAACTAAACAGCGAATAAACAGCAAAAGGGTTTCAGATTACTTGCTCCATTAACTCATACCACATGCTACAATAGTCAAAACCACTCATTCATTTTTGAAATTCAAGTAATTTAACTTTCTGAATATCCAATAAAAAAGGGAAAAAAGAAGCCTTAGGATGACAATTACAATTATACGTCAAAATGAATATGTGTCTGGTATACAGCCAGCCTTAACAATAAGCGAAGGAAAGCTCTGAAATGCAGAAAAATGTAGAAAAAGAGAAGACAGAGTTACCTGGGGCAGCATATCCAATGGTCCCAATTATTCCTATGGAGCTGGCTTGGCTTGAAGGAAATGTTGTTGTGGCCTCTGCAAGAAACTTTGCTAACCCAAAATCGCCTACACGAGCAATCAACTCACTATCCAGCAGAACATTACTTGGCTTGAGATCACAGTGCACCAATGGTGTTCCACAATGATAATGAAGATAATCAAGTGCACAAGCTACATATCAATGGCGATGTTTAATCCTTGAAGCAGGTTCAGCCGCCTCCGAGGCTTCTAATTTTCAATCTCCACTCTAGGTTTCTCATGCAACCAGCCATCCAAACTCCCATAATCCATATACACATACACAAGACCCTTGAAATTATTGCGCTGAAAATCAATGCTGGAACAAGAAGTTAAAACCTTCAGAAGATTCCGATGCCTGAGAAGTCCCAACGCTTCACACTCTGCCGTGAAACTCTTGGAAGCTCCTCGGGCTTTAAGGTTGAGTACCTTCACAGCAACAATAGTTTTAGTTCCGTCAAGAATTCCTTTGTACACGGAGCTGAACTTTCCTGAGCCAATCAAATTGGCTGATGAGAAACCATCTGTAGCCCTATAAAGAGTTTCATATGACACTTTAGGGAGTGTATCCCTTGTTGAATCCGCTGACAAAGAGCAAGACACCTTTCTTGCATATCTCCATTTGTAACAAAAAACAGAAAACAACACATAAATTAGCACCAAGATCCCACCAGATATTGGTGCTGCTAATTTTATTGCACAAGACATTCCATGTTTTCTCGATGCTTCTTTGATGCTGCATTTAGGCAGCTGCAATTCTGGAACACCCCCACACAAATTACTGTTTCCAACAACTGAAACTGCACTTGTATTTTGGAAAACTTCCCCTAGCGGCACCTCACCCTCAAAATGGTTAAAAGACAGATTTAGATTCCGTAGAAACACAAGATTTTCTAAGCATTCTGGAATTTGGCCTGTCAAGTTGTTGTGAGAAAAATCTAAAACTTCAATACCTTTCAAAAAACTTAAAGATGGAGGAACGGTCCCTAGAAAAGGAGTTGCCATTAATGTTGAGCTTTATCAAGCTTGTGCAACTGCCAAGACTACTCGAACTTTCACCAGATAACATGTTGTCAGAAACATCCAATACAGCTAGATTTCCTAAGTCACCTTGTTCTAATTGAAGGGAACCGTTTAAAAGGTTGTAGGATAGGTCCAGAGAGCGAGATAAGCTAGAAATGCCAAAAATTTCTTTTGGTATATAACTGCTAAGATTATTCCGAGAAAGATCCAATATCAATAAATATTGGCATTTTGCTAGACTAGATGGGATTCTTCCTTGTAAATTATTTACGCCTAGGTCAAGTCCGATCAAGGTAGTTAAATTTCTCAAAGAAGCAGGAATATACCCCGATAATTTGTTTTGATGGACAGAGAAAAGCTTAAGCTTTTGAAGTTTTCCAATGGAATCAGGAATGCTACCATGGAATTGGTTCTGCCCCAAATATAAACCCTGTAAGTTGACTAGTTCCCCTATTTCGGTGGGTAGGTTTCCAGATATGAAATTTTGTGCTATGGAAAAACTGGTAAGCTTCGAAAAGTTGCCAACTGATTTTGGCAAAACCCCTCCTAATTTGTTGTTCAAGAAATGTAGCCATTCTAGTTGGGTAGCATTGATCAAAGATGGTAAAAACCTCAAGTCATCTGCTTCCCCATTTCCAAGTTGGTTCCTATGAAGTAATAGCCGCCCCAGAAACTGCAGCCCTCCAAAACTGGGTACTTTTCCAGTAAAGCCATTCAAACTGACCGCGAGCATCTCAAGCTGTGAGGCGTTGGACAATGAATGAGGTAGAGATCCTGTAAATTTATTTTGTGCAACATTGAGCCATTGGAGTCTGGGAAGTTTTAGGCCTATATCTGATGGAAGATCTCCTCCGATTTGATTCTGGGCCACATCAATCATAATCAGAGACGACAAATTGAAAACTGAAGGAGGAATAATACCAGACAGGTTATTTGTCGCAAATGCAACAACTGTTAAGTTCCTTAACCGGCCTAGAGTATCTGGAATATGTCCCTGGAAATTATTTCCTAACAAAGAGAATCTTTGAAGGGATGAAAAGTTCCCAATAAAAGCCGGTATCTCACCTGTTAGATAGTTCGAGTACAGAAAAATAAACTGAAGCCTCAATAGAGATTGGAACTCCATTGGAAGCCTTCCCACAAGTTTGTTCCTAGCAAAATGAAGTTTTGCAAGATTCAAGCATCTTGATATATTGGCTGGAATTTCACCCAAAAAGGAATTGTTATTAAGTTCTACTGTACTCAATCTTGACAACCAGCCAATCTCTTGAGGGATTCCTCCCGTGAAGCTATTTGCAGAGAGCTTAAGATTTTGAAGAAAACTCAGGTTACCATTGGCAGGCGATAGTGTACCACTCAAACTCATGGATTGCAGATTAATCGCGATGCCTCTTTGATGTCTTCAACCACAAGTAATGCCTGCCCAGTTGCAAAAGGGGATGGATTCATTCCATGAGGCAGTGATCTGAAGCGGGTCAGAGGTTAGCTTCGCCTTAATTGACAGCAATGCGTGGTGATCCGTGGCGTTTCCAGCAGCCGTGGAAGTGGAAGAAGAGGAGGGGAGGTTGTAAAGCAAGAAGACGGAGAACAAGGTGAGGATCAGATGAATGGGAAGTGACCCATAAAATGCTAACATCATTGGATTGAGTGACAACATTGACTACCAATTTCACAGAGGTGTAAGTATACTTATGCGTGTGTGTGTGTGACAGTTTATCTCACTTGCCAGGCAGCATAATATAAAATGTGAAGGGCCAGGGGATAGAGCTAACGAACAATATAAGTTAGACTATAAGTACACCCGAGTTCACACACGACTTGAATACATCATAATAATTCCCTGCAGGCCAACGAAAGCTGTTAGTCTGTGGCCGGTGAGAGGCCAAATGGAGCAAATGCAATAAATTACAAGTTTTTTACCTCTTATGCATCAGTTGGACTTATGTCTATTGGATGCATCAGTTTGCACTGTAGTTTTTGGAAGGACTTTTGCAGTTCTATTTTGCATTTCCTTGCCTGGAACACTGAGGTACAATATTTTCATCCACACCACGCATAGATTACCCTATTTTCAAAAACACCCGGTAGTTCCCCATCCTGCCACAGCTCCTAACCCACTAACAGCCCTATAACTCCTCCGTGTACCTCTCTTCGCAACATATATACCATTAGCTCAACCAGACTTGCATCAAAATTTTGTTTCGGTATCGGTCACCTAAAAACTCGAAACACTTCAAAACTATTTCAAAAACGTTTCTAAAACATAACGAAAACTAAAATATTTCCGCCGTTTGGATCATTTCGAAAAGAAATTTTGATCTTTCAACCCACCCTCCGTCCCCTCCTCTTCAATTATACTAATCAGCACCATAAATATGAACTCTTCCATTACTGAAATCGTCTCCATCTCTATTCCACCACCATGAAAACTATCAAAACCCAAACCTGAAAATCCCACAAAGTACCCCACCACAACACCAAGAACCCAATTCAAAATCCAAGCGTCAAAGCCAGCATTAAGCCCATCCACACAGCCACCACACCCATCGGATAATCCACCAGAGCCACCCCCAGCAACCACCGTCATCACTTCTGATATGAACCCGTAGTTAGAAATTACCATGAGAACCGGCTTGCAAGGGAAAGAAGCTCAAGCACATGCACACTGCTATTTTTAATATTTAACCAGATCACAACATACATGTGGCAAACATGCCCATTCTATCGATATTGACCCTAAACTTTTTGTTTTGGAAGCTCCCCTCGCTTATTAATATTCAAATACATAATAATAAGTAATCTTAATCCAACTTAGACATGGTGTCTAGCACTAATACCAATGGTCCTGAATTCATATGCAGAAACTTGCCTCTAAAAACTGGTTTGCAGGAAACAATGTTCAAGAGATTATATACATCTAGCCTAATATATAAGGGTGAAGCTATTTTTACTCCTTAAATATCTTTTATCACCTCATTTAATTCCATAATTTCAAACCACTAAATCTACTTCATCTATACCCATTACCCATGCTATAAGAATACCACATCTATACTCACCTTATTAAACTAATAAATATACTTTTTCACCCAACTATATACTCCTCACACAGACAATTCTCACCCCCACTATAGATACACCCCCATTTACAAATTATGCTACCCTATTAAAGCATGGAATAACTATCTTTTACAAATACAATTTTAGCAAGTCTTATCCTTGGGATTTTCTCAACATTTAAAGTATAAAACTGAAAATACCACCAATACATTTGCCAAGGTCCCAATTCAAAGCTATTGGGTCTGAAGAGAAACATCATGCGTGCAGAAAATGGTCAAAAGATCATAATCTCAGAAACTAACATTTATCAACCAATGAATTCTAGAAGTACATAAAAAAGGAAACAATTTCAGCCCATCTTAACAGTAGACCTTCAACTGCTATTGATTTATCTCAAACTAGAGTCAAAATAAAACAAAAGCAATATTCATTTGAGGCAAATATAACCAAGGACAGAATCATGATTTTATCGCGAGGGGTGTCAAAAAAAAATAGTCGCACAGTAAAAAACTTTATTCTATAAGATTATTGAATAAGTTATCTTTAATATATATAATAAAGTACAATACAATTCAAATCTCAAAAGATAAACAAAATGATTTTTGTTTTTCGCGGTTAATATCTCTTTAAATTTTACTTTAAAGTTAATCTAACGGCTAATATTAACACCTCAAATTTAATAAGGAATAGACCCCTAAGGGTGTGTTTGGGTGACTTTTAAAAATATTTTATAACTTTTCATCAATATTTAAAAAAAAAATAGTGTTTGAAACCGTCCCACCACCGCCGCCAATCCATCACCACAGGTCCACAACTACCCCTACCCCTACCACCATCACCGTCATCCCCACCGCCCCACCCCCACTACCACTATCACCACCGCTACCGCCATCCCATCACCACCTTCCACCTTTGCCACAACAACCGTCGCCACCACCCCACCACCACCATCACCTCTACCACCGCACCACCACAACCGTTGTCGCCACCCTACCACCACCGCTATTGTCCCACCATTATCCCTAACACCACCACCTCCACCGCCCCACCATCACCCCTACCACCACCGACGTCGCTGCACCACCACCACCATCGTCACTATCGTCACCCCACCACCACCACCGCCACTGTCGCCACCGTCATCGCCCACCACTACCGCCCCCCACTGTCATCCACACCTACCACCATTACCACCACCGTCATTCACCATCACTCATCACACTATCGCCCAAAAAAATTTGTCATCGCGCACCACCACCATTACCAACCACCATCACGTTGTCAACCATGACTACCACTACCACCATCGTCACCCAAAACCAACCACCACTATCACTGTTGCTACCCATGGCTGCCACTATCACCACGATCGTCGCCACCCACCACAACCATCACCGTCTCCTACCACCACCACTGCCGCCTACCGCCACTACCATTGCTCATCCCTATTACAACTGAAGTTTAAATTTTTTCTCTCTCTTCTATATTTATTGATGGTGTCAATTAACATAGATGAATAAAAGGTATGAATTATACTTGGCAGCTGGGGTCTGAGCTTCAAAGCTCTGGGGGTGATGAAGATTTTTTTGGGGATTGGAGTGATTTGCACAGTGAAAATATAGTGGTTCGCCAGCTCGGGAGCTCGGCTAATCCACTTATGAAGGGAGGCTCTTGCTCCTTTTGTCTTAATAATGAGGAAAGGAATTTGCAATGTGTTTTTGCAAGCATCCGGGGTTTTTCTGCCCCATCTTGGAGGCATTGTACAGTACTTATAGTGAAATTCCAATCCCTAAGGAATCTTAGGCGTGATCTTAGCGGAATCTCCCTTGATATTGGGAGAGGATCTTGGTTGGTTGAGAGTTTTGTGTCTGGACTCTAACCCCGCTGTCATCCAGCTGTTTCCTTATCGTTTATGTTATTGTCTCGTCTGGGGAGTGCTCTAGCTCTGGTCCTTTGAGCCCTGCGCGTCTTGTCTGACCTCCTGATCTGATCTCGGCTCCTGGGCTCATACTTAGTTAAAATTCCTTCTAGGTATCATCAGTTGGCTCCCAACCCTTGGTTCAAGCTAGCTTGGATAGGGGGCTGAGCTGCACCAAAGCTGGTCTTAATCACACAACGACCTCAATTTGCTTGTCCAAAGGGTTCCTTTTGACAGTTTTCAGCAATCATGTTCTCCTCGATTCTCGCACACGTTCTCAACTTCATACCGTTTGCTTTAAATGCCACTAAGTTAAGGGGCAACGATCCTTAGTTCGCTCTCTGAATTCTCTCCCTAGGCTCTTCTTCTTCCTTGCATCCCCTGTTTCCCCAATCCACTGGTGATCTTAAGGTTTTGCTGAATCTCATCCTTTCTCCAATTGGCTTGTAAGGCTCGCTCTTTGTTTTTCAGTGAGGGAATTCTGGTCTACCATCCACCCTTGATTAGGTACGTTTCCTGTCCCTTATGTGTTTTTTCGTTATGGATCCCTCGAATTTGAGGTGGTTACTACATTTATGGACCTTTCGATTCTGCTACTTTAAGAATCGAGGCTTTTCTTTGTCTTCTCTTCCCCTCTTCTTAGATCCTTACACTACTGCTAGGATTTTTGTCATTGGTCACTGGTGTTTTGCCCCCTTGACCCTCAAGGAGTTTTTTTTAGAGGTTCCTCTTCTTTATAAATCTTTTAAACTTCCTTTCTCCTGCCCAGTTATGTCTGCCTCTTTCGGAGCTACCCCCTCCTCTGTTTCCTTCTGGGGACAGGTCTATTGAAGAAGATACCGATTTAGGTGATGTAGGTGAGGAGATTGACAATTTTTCCGGTGTTGATTCTGTTGATATCAAGGGAAATACTAAGAAAACTCCCCCATCAACCTCTCTTGTGCCCAAAAACCCTAGCAAAGGTAAGCCAAGGTGAGTGGCGTTGGAATCTCAGGCAGCGCTGAGGGTGTAGGGGCTACTTTTAGAACTGCAGAACTTGTGGGCTTCAGTGAGGTCTCTCCTTCCCTCATAAAGGTTTTTAGTGCTCGTTTTGGCTTTCCTCCTGGTGTCCAATACTAGTGTCCAGATAAATTCTCCCCATACGTCTCCCAGGTTCACAAGAAAGTCTATTTTTTTGTGGCCGCCTTTGAGAATGGCCTTCGCTTTCCCATGCACCCATTTATCAAGAGTGTTTTGTAGCACTTTAACGTCTGCCCTACTTAGCTCTCCCCCAACTTCTGAGGTGTTCTGGTGGGTCTTCTTATTTTCTTTAGGAAACATAAACTTGGGGTTCCCACTAATGTTAAGTATATCCCTTCCGATGGTTTCTTCTATATTTCTAAACGGGTTAAAGCCAAAATGATCATCTTTGACCTCCCAAGCTCCCACAAGGGCTAGAAAAAACTTTTCTTCTTTGTAGGGGGACAATCAATGGGAATACAATCCTGCAGACATCTCCGATGCTCTTCCAATTCCTCGAGCCTGGAAAACCCCTGATAACTTGGATAAGCCCTTGTCTAAGTGAGCTAAGATCAGCTTTGACGGATTTTTGTGCTGACCTCTCTTTGTTTATCTTATTCTGTTTCTCAAGTATTCAACCTGAACTCAGCATTGCAAACAAGCAGGCTTTGTTGTCCCTAGAGGGTTGTGGTTCAGAGAAGTACTCCGAGTTCATCAAACCTTGGGTTCTTGCAATGCAAGGGTTCAGCCTCCCAGAGATAACGATAGAAGCCCCAATCCCCCTCTCTGTTGTTAGCGCAGAGGAGGTGACTGATAATACCCCGACCTTTCTGTCTCTGGCTTCTTCCCTTTCTTCTTGCACCCTATTTACATATTTTTACCCGTTCTAGGTTCTTAGGTTCTTCTGTGATGGAGCCTTCCCCAGTAGATAAGCTTTCTCAGCTAAAGAAAATCAAGAGTGGTGGCAAACACAAGGCTGAAGTTGGCTCTGGCAGCGGAGCTGTTCCTCCAACCAAGGTACCAAGAACAAGTGTGCCCCCCAGCTCTCCTATTTCAAGTCAAACCTTAACCATTCAACCTTTGTCCACTCTGCAAGTCGTAGAGGGTCCTTTCGCCAGAGAGGTCTCGCTCGCTCCCAACATGGTTCTTGAGCGAGGAAAAACTTCCCCCTCTTCTTCTGAGGTTGACAAGGCCTTGGGGATATTTACTTGTGTACTGCCTACCTCCAGCTCTCCAATGACATCCAAGAAGCTTCCCCTGTCACACCATTCAAGCTTCAGAATTGAGAAGGGGAAATACCCCAAAGTGGAGAGAAACCAAGGCTCATTTTTTGACAATATCGAGCTTGCTGCTATGGTCATTAGCTCTATTCTTCCTGTGTCTGACATTCAGAGAGTCTCCTCCATGCCTCTTGAGACTTCTATCAACTCAGCTCTCCATGGAGCAACTGCTGTAAATGCCTATCTCTCTCTTTTTCTTTTTCTTTTTTATGTTATAAACTGATGATGACCTTTGTTTTCTCTCCACCTACTCCCAGCTAGCCCTTCACATGAAGGGTTTGATGGGCAGGATCCGATCTCTGGAGGGTTCTGCCAAGGTCACAAAGGCCTACGTG